CAAAGGAGTCATCATGGCTCCATAAATATCATTGCTGAGCAGTCATTCCGGCAAAGGGGTGGAAACAGTGGACGTGTTCACCCATCAGTAAAATGGGTACCTAGGTGTTAGTTGATTGGTGGTGGGTCGCATCCTTGGACAAAACTGACCTAATTTGCCGGAAATGCTCTGCATAACAGGTGGCTTTCTATATAGTGGTATGTCATTGATGTCAGCTAGACCTCTGTACCTTGTACATGTAGTAAACAAAGATATTTTTATTATTATAATTATAGTGCATGGTGAACAAGGTTTACTAAATATAGTGTTCCCACAATACACTGTGGGGGCCTTGTTTTTTTTGTATACTGACTATGCAGACCATCTCCGCTAAATTTAAAGTTGCTACAATTTTGGCATAGATATATGTCAGGGACCCTGACATCAATAACTGCCATACATACATGACTGGCACTGAAAGGGTTAAAATGAAAAGAATGCCGAATACCTAATCAAAAATAGGTTTACCACTCAGAATTCAATGATGATGTTACTGCAATCCTACAAACATCATAATTAAGATTATTGCTGAGAAGTTAAGAGTCTACTTTTCTGTACCTGCATAAAGATAAAATAAGAATTTTTAGCAGTAAAGCATTGAGGTAAAAATGCCTTACTGACCAGGCCTAATTCGTCAGGAAAGACAAGCAGTTGTCACAGTCATTGGAAATAATTACTCAAACGAACGAATTTTACAATTAACCCTTTCACTGTTGATGCCACATAGATACGTCTTACGAGCCAGTGTTGATGTATTAATATGCCAAAATTCTAGCAACTTCAAATCTAATGGGAGAAAGCTGGTAGGCCTACATGTGAGAGAATGCATCTGTGCGATCAGTGTGCGCAGTATGAAAAAATCTACATTGCATTGTGGGAACGCCATTTCAGTAGTCCTTGTTTACCATGCCTTGCGGTAAGAAATATCTCGCTCCCGGTGAACTGGGACTCTTCTGTTCCCAAGTGATAGTGCTAACACAGACGGAAGTGTCAGTGAAGATGAATTTCATGGTTTTGAGGAGTTTGTGACCGAAAGCAATGCCCAGGATAACGGAAATAGTGTTGCAAACTCAGAAGATCCTCGACCTTCCACCTCTAGTGCTGGGCTGTCATTCACGTTCAGTTGTACCATGGTGAAAGAGAAAACTCTTATTTCCCCCCTGTCCAGGACTCGGATGTGAGCAGTGATAATGATAGTGATTGTGATTTCCAAATTCTTGATTACAATTCCAATAGTGACAGTGAGGAGTAATATTCTCCAGTGAAGCATCAATATATACAATGCTACATGCATTCTGGTTGTGTGACATATGCTGTTCCAAGGCAAAGGAGTACATCTCGGCGTACATCCCATGGCCCTACACCAGGAATAAATAATGAAATGACAATGAAAATTGTTACAATTGGGATGGATGATGTGCATGCATCATCAGTTGGCAGTGGTGCCATGTGCCATGAGGCACCAGCAGTGGCCCATGCTGGTAGCCACACTGCTGACTCAGCACAGCTACAACAAAGGCCACCCTCATCCACCCACCCACCACACCAACCTGCACAACCACAATTTGCACAACCACAACCACCTGTCAATACCAAGTACCCACCAGCAGACTGCATCTGGGATTGGCACAAGGTGCCAATTTTGTTACTAATCCCCATCACTTTGATGAAACTCAAAGTGAAATACGGCCATCTTGTACAACTTGGGAACAATGCCACTGAACTGGAATGTTTTAAATTTATTCTTTGAACCCCTGATGGATATTATTGTTAAGGAAAGTAACATACTTCAAGTATACCATGGCAAACACAATCATTTAACCAAAATCATGCTTACACCAGTGGAAGGAGACAACTGTGCTGAGAAGTATCTGTTCTTTGCCACAATAATGCTTATGCCACATGTGTATAAGTACACTGTCACATCATACTGGTCGACAGACCGCGATGATTTCAGCCCCAGCTTTCAGTGGTGTAATACCAGTCAATCGATTTGTGCTACTGTTATGTAGCACCTGACAGAAACTACAGGTTATATAAGGTTAGGAATGTGTTTATGTATCTGAAACAAAAGTTCTGTATGTATTTTTATCCCTTCAGGAAGCTTGCTATTGATGAATCTTTGATTCTGTTCAAAGGTAGACTGTTGTTTAAGCAGTGTACACCAAGCAAGAGGAAATGCTTTGGTATAAAAATTATTGTACTTTGAGATTGCTACAGTGGTCTTGTATTGGATATAATTGTGTACACTGAAGTAATACATTGCAAGATACCAGGAAATTATTGGGTATCTCTGGTGATGTGGTTAGAACAATGATGGAACCATACTCAACGGTTTCTTGTGAGTGAACATGACAGACGTGTGTGGCACAGTACGTGCAAATTGTGAGCATATGCCCAGGTTTGATGCAGGCATTCACAGAGGTATAGTACAGGCGTTTGCTGCAAATGACATCATGGCATTTCGGTGGCATGACAAACGAGATGTCATATTGTTGACATCAATTCACCGAAACGAAATGACAGTGGCAGGCAGAATAGAGGGGCCAATGAACCCATTCTAAAATCTGCAGTTGTGATGGACTACACCCTCAATATCTGCTCAGTGAACAAACGTGACATGCAAATTGGGTTTGCTGATTGTGTTTGCAAGAGTTATAAGTGGTACATAAAACTCTTTTTCCATC